GCCGAGTACCGAGCACTCTCGGCTACCGCAGCTGAAGTAATGTGGCTCACCTACTTGTTTGACATCCTACAGATTAAGCTTCCTCCACCTCACCTCCTTTGTGATAATCAGTCCACCATCTGTCTGACAAAGAATCCTGTCTTTCACAAGCGAATGAAACATGTTGGTACTGATTGCCATTTTGTACGAGAACAGGTAATTGCTGAACAAATGACAGTCTCGTATGTTCCTTCTCATGAGCAACTTGCAGACCTTCTCACCAAAGCTCTCTCCTCACCACGCTACTCTGCATTGATCGCCAAGCTTCCGCTCGTTTCACGGCGTTCAGCTTGAGGGGGGATGTTAGATAACTATGGAAATAGTTCTAGTTATAGAAGGATTATTATTATAGTTAATTACCATACTTGGAGAATCCTAATTGATGTAGGAATCTCCATCTATATAAACTACCTTGTACACAATTATTTCCTTGAGTTGAAATCATAATTCAATAGAAACATTTCCCCTTTCTTTTTTTATCCGTCCCACAAAACACTTCTCATTTCTATTAAAAAGTCACTTTTACCCCTTACTTTTTCATACCCTAACTATCACATCATACCTTTTTACTAATAATCTATCCATCAAATCATACTTTTACCCATCACATCAAAGGACATTTTTGGAAATTCAATACCAAAATACACTCCCTTAAATCCCTCCTAAAAAGCAAATGTCCCATGTTTCACGGGACGGAGGTAGTAAAAAACATATATCAACCATCTTATAACAGTTTACTTTGAACTTTTAGTTACTTTTTAGATGTATTTAACAATGCAAAATAATTAAAACTGACAATAAGAAAAAGATTGAAGAATTTCTTTATTTTTATTACATTATTTTTTATACTCCGTATTATGGTAAATGATTTTCTAAAAATCTTAAGTTAGTTGGTTGGTCAAGTCGCATTCAAGTTCGGTCAAGTTTGACTCATTTTTAACAGGTTTTTTCGGGTATGGTCCACAAAAGCTTTGTAAAAAAACCTACGGTGTAATATTTTTGAGTTAGGTCTTGGGTAAAAATAGATCGAATCAATTTTTGTCACGTCTAGCTTTGACTTTTTCTAATCAACCAAAATGATTAACTTTTGATTTATAGTTTAATAAACATTATAAGATATGTTAATTATATAATAACATAATATTTTGAAAACATTTTACAAGATCAATTTAATAAAATTATTCTTGTATCAATATGTAGTACTCCTCCGTTTGCAAAAAAGGTTTCTACTTTGACTTGGAGCAAAAATAAGGAAGTATTAAATTATAGTTGACTTCTAATTTTGCCCCTGATGTAATGGGTAAAAGTAAGATGTGATGGATAGATTATAAAAGAAAAAGTATGATGTGATAGGTAGGGTATGAAAAAGTAAGGGTAAAAATAATTTTTTAATATAGAAACTGGAAGTGCTTTGTTGGAAGTGGAAAAAATGAAAGAGAAGTGTTTTTGAGAACGGAGAGAGTATCTTTTTTTGTAATTAATGATCAAATTTTATCATTTTTTACTGCAAATAGTCAAAAGTTGAAAAATACATTAGGAGAGAATCAATTCATGGTGATTGTTTGCCAATTTATCAATTTTGAGATTCAATATATATATATATATACAACTATTTATATTATAATACTCCGTAACAAGTACTCGTACTAAAAAAAGGTCAATTGCTTGTTATACTCTCTCGTCAAAAATTAGGTTGTTCGTTAATTATGTATATAGTCAAATTTCATCACTTTCTTTTCATATTTTTGTTATTTACGGAGTATTTGATTAAAGAATTTAGTCATGTCACCGGATTTTTATAGATTTTTGATGTAGTTTTTAAGTATGTAATTATTATTTTTTATATAAAACAATCTGAAAATAATATCGGTCAAACACGATAAAATAAAAGAAACGATTTAAATTAAATAGATACCACTATTAACTTAAATTCTCACAATTTAAAAAAAAAAAGGTTAATTGGGGTAGCCATTGAATCAGGCACCCCACAATAATCATTGGCGCTCGCTGGCCAATTTCAAAACACGAGTAAAGAAAATGTTTTAACCTGCGGAGTTTACAACAACAAAAAAAACATTAAAAATAATGATGAACTCACGAAGATAATAATGACTCTAATCGGAATATGTATAGTAATTCAAAAATTATCAATCCGTTGCACAAATTAATTAACTAATTAATCTAATAATAAGCAGTTGCATAAGATCGATCGTGTTGAGCTACTGCCGCGCGAGTGTGATGATGGACTCCGATCCGGCCAAACATCCTCAGCTCCGGCCACCGGGGCGGCGCGGCGCGGCTCAACTAGGTAGCTATAGAAGAGCCTTGAAGAAGGGATTGCAAGTAGGAAGTGATGGCCAAGAAAGCATCGACGGGGCAAGGGAGGGTGAGGCCGCCGGCGGGGTGCTGGAAGCCGAACTCCTCCTCGGCGCGGCTCAGCAGTTCCTGGAACATGGGATGGCTGAGGTAAGATATTGGGACCACGAACCGCCGCCTTTCTTCTCCCACGTACACCGCTAAGTGTCCCCTCCGAACGTCTCCCCCGCCGCCGCCTACTTTGGACCGGACCACGATGTTCTTTGCCACATTTCTTACCCTCTCCAAATTAATCCCCATTTTTTTCAACAAGGACGAAATTAAAAGGAAGTTTCTCGTGGAAACAGATTGTTCGAACAATCGAACTTAATTGGGAGTGTTATGTAGTGGCCGGTAAGAGAATGATATGGCGAGATGAAAGTATGTATGTACGTAGCTAGTACTTCTATATTCTCCGTATTTATATATACCATACGATAACGATTACTCCCTCCATCCCTAAATACTCACTCCGTCCTATATCTTTCTTCCCGTTGCGCAAAACGAAAAAAAATCTCAAATTTTTGCAATCTATTTTATTTAAATATTGGTATAGAAATAAAAAATGAAACATACATATTTAAAAACTACATCAAAAGTTTAACAAAACAAGTGGTGATAAGAATATTTTATAGAAATCACCCATAATAGGAGTAAAACATTATGCTACACCCCAAAATAGGACTTCAAGTTCGTTATCCCCCAAATAGGACCTCTCCCGCCACAATCTTTCTTTCTCTCCCGATTTTGCCCTCCTTTCCTGTCCGCGTTACACATCCGAACTTTCCCCATCCTTGCGATCGTTCCCCATCAATCTGTTTAATTTTGTCTTCCACTCTTCGTTTTTACTGTTATCGAACGGCTCCAGCTCTTTACTTCGCGGTTTGGATTCGCGCTGTACTTGTCCGTTCATGGAAATCGCTGAAGCCGGACCCCAATCTGGTACATGATTTTTGATTTCATGATTTGAATCGTCCTTGTTCTGCATTTTTTTCAATTGTATTTACTATATAATCATCTGTTTTAACCAAATTATAACCATTAGGTTATTGAAATTATCTCCCACTTATTGTGTTTTACTTTGTGTAGTTGTGTGTGTTCAATGGATAATCAAATTTGGATTATGGTGTATGTTGGTGGAAGCTGGGGAAGTAATAATGCGTTCAATCCAAAGTATACAATTGGATTACCAATTTCCAAGGCTAGCTTATTTGTGGATGTAATGTCTCACCTTAGAGGTGTTATTTGCAAGGGTGACAGTAGTGTGCTTTTAAGGATTACTTATGCTGTTGGATCAATTCTTCCACCAGTTGAGATTAATGATGAAAGTAGCTTCCAATTTTATATGGATTTGAAATCAATTGATCATGACTTCTCAAAGCTCCCAATCTGTGTTGAATTTGTCCATACAACAACCCCTGTTCAAGCACCCTTGCCACTTTGTCATGATAATGCATGCCATGCTTTGATGGAAAATCTGTCGCACTTACCCATCAGCTTCAGTGATACTGTGTCATGTTCACCTTACAGTTCACGTGATTATTCAGACCATGGAAGTGCGCAAGGTAGTGAAGTTATTCAAATGGAGGATCCAGTGCCTTTCCATATTGCCACAGATCAACAAGATTTGAACACTATGCAGTCATACAATGCATGTGCTGAACCCAAAATCAATGTAGAAGTTATTTTGCACTACCATCCAACGTTTATTTGCAAAAATATGATCTACAAGTCAAAGCTAGACTTGCAACACCATTTGCAGATGTACTCTATATTGAACAATTTTCAGTACAGAACACTTACATCAAACAAAAAGTTTCTTCATGTTGTGTGTTTGGATGATCATTGTGCGTGGACAGTGCGGGCTGTTCGTTTAGAGCGTTCAAATCTTTTCCAGATTCGAAGGTGTATTTCTTTGTCATTTTAGAGTTATTCACATTATGGAGTCTATGTTATATGTACTATCGGATTTTATTTTGTTGCTGTGTAGGTTTGATTCCTCTCATTCATGCTCTGTTGATCTGCGCGAAGGTGACCATAGACAAGCTACATCTAGATTGCTATCAGATCTTGTTCTGCATCGCTATACGGATGCTTTTAAAAAACCATATGGACCTAATGATATACGAGAAGACATGAGGAGAGATTATGGTATTTCTATGTCATATAAGAAGGCATTGAGTGTAAAAAATAAAGCAATGAGCAAATTGTATGGAGCTGATGATGATTCTTACCAGTTACGGCCATCAATGTGCCATGTATTGGCCCAAAAAAATCCAGGATCTGTTATATCTCTCACAACCAATGAAAATGACCAGTTTAAGAGTATGTTTTTCTCGCTATGTGCATGGAGACAAGCTTGGATTCACTGCTTCCCAATTCTAATTATAGATGGTACATTCCTGAAGGCATATTTTCGTGGTACATTATTGACCGCCTGCACACAAGATGCAAACCGGCAGATTGTCCCATTGGCTTTTGGCATTTGTGACACTGCGAGTAAGGAGACCTGGATGTGGTTTTTAACCAATGTGAAACGTGCACTAACTGAACGTAGTAACCTGTACATTATATCTAACCGCCATGACGGCATTATATATGCTGTTGAACAAGTCTTCCCCTCCGTTTCTCACGGGTATTGTTCTGAGCACATACTTCGCAATATCAAATCCAAATTTAGAGGGAAATCAGAGGTGATTCAGTGGAAATTTAGAGGTGCTGCTCAGGCAGCTACTGTCAAGGAATTCGAAGAGTATCTTCAACTGCTGGATGATGAAGATCCTCGAATAAGGGAATACCTCAACAAAATTGGGAATTCAAAGTGGTCTAGATGCCATAGTGACAAATCTCGTTATTCTAGTATGACATCAAATCTCGCTGAGTCATTGAATAATGTCAATAATAGTGCTAGGGAGTTTCCTGTTGCAAAGCTTGTTGAATTCATTCGTGATAGGATGCAGCTGTGGTTTCATGAACGGTCAGAAATTGCTAGTTCCACTCGCACCCCTCTTCCTAAGAAACTTGAGGTTGTCCTAATTCAAATGCAACGTGAAGCTTTTCGTATGAAGGTATGCTTTTCAGAAACTAGTCATTCTTATATTATTGCTTATGGAGAGTGATGTTTAAGTTGTTTC